TTTTTTTTTTGTGGCGGTTTCAGGTTTTGGGGTATATTTTTCTTTTTTTTTTTTGTTGTTTGTTTTTTTTACGACCATCTCAACGTTTTACGGAATTTTTAAGAAAAAATACATCTTGGTTCAACATTTGACGGACTGTCCGTAAATTTAAGTGTGGCTGGCATCCCAACTAAACAGTGCAGAAAAGCCATGGGGCTTGGGAGTCAGAAGGACAGCCACGCCGGGGGTTAATAAAAAGCTAGTGAAGAAAAAAAAAATATAGATTAGCATCTTCTGGTCGATTTGATCCTGAAAGTAAAAAGTGGGACATTTGCATTTTCATTTCGACAGGCTGTAAACCACCTAATTCGAAGGTGCTCACCAAAAAAAAAAAAGAAAAAAAAAAGTGAGTTTCGTGGAAGATTTGTTGTTACAGGGCAATCCTCTGTCATGGCTGATCATCTCTTTGCAATAAAGAGTCAAGGAAAGATTGATTTATTTTTTTTATATTGCATTTTGACCGTTGGCATGGATGGTTAGGCATTAAAGAGAGGGAGGCGTGGGATAGGTTCTCAAGTTGTCTAGCGTTTTGAATAAGTCTTCATAAATATGTGTTGCATTTTGCTGACTACGTCATCGTGCGTATACGTGAGGAAGCGATTTTTTTCAAATAAACACATTTAGCCAGACTAAGGAAATTTAACCAGACTATAGGAACATTTAGCCACACTGCAGATACTTGGCTGCACTAAGGACATTTAGCCAGACTAGGGAAATGTGTCCAGACTAATGACATTTAGCCAGACTAAGGACATTTAGCCAGACTAAGGACATTTAGCCAGACTAAGGACATTTAACCAGACTAGGGACATTTAGCCACATTAAGGACATTTAGCCAGACTAAGGACATTTAGCCAGACTAAGCACATTTAGCCAGACTAACGACATTTAGCCAGACTAAGGACATTTAACCAGACTAGGGACATTTAATCAGACTAGGGACATTTAGCCACATTAAGGACATTTAGCCAGACTAGGGACGTTTAGCCAGACTATAACTAAGGACATTCAGCCACACGGCGGACAGTTAGCCAGATAAGCGCGTGCTGTGTTACAGTAGTTGACCACGCAAACACGGGCGAGCAGACGTGTCACCGTAGTCGTTCATTAAAACAATCCATCAGGCGGGATCGATATCATTCAGCTAACGAGGAGTGGAAGGGGGGGGGTCACTGGTTGGCCGAGGAGTGTTCTGAGTACCTGCGAGCAATAAGTGTGGCAATCTTAAATTGGGCATGATGGTCATCTTTATAAGATTATGGAGGAGCTAAGGGTGTTTAAAAGCAGAAACTCTAAGGAACAAATGGCTCGACATGCTGCAGTCGACCAAGACCGAGACGACTAGACGACCAAGACCGAGACGACTAGACGACCAAGACCGAGACGACTAGACGACCAAGACCGAGACGACTAGACGACCAAGACCGAGACGACTAGACGATGTAAAGATGCATTTTCGTAAAACCTGGCGTCCGCTCGTGGAGACGAAAAGCAATACATCGGACTGAATGGAAGGATGTGGTGAAGCAGGTCAGAACCCTCCGTGGGCTGTAGTGCCACGGATGATGATGGTCCTTTTCATAACTTCACTACAGAAAGTTTCGGGAAGGTTACCATCCTCCTCATCCTCAAGTCCCTTAGTCCTTGGACTGTTGGGGCGCCACAGATGACATGTGAACCATCCTCCTCCATTCCTCTTTGTCTTCAGCACTACGCACTGCATCACCCAGTGCTACTCCTGTCCACTCTTTGATGTTATCCTCCCATCTTTTTCTTTGTCTTCCTCATCTTCTCCTTCCTCTGGTGTTGCGCTGCAATATTTCTTTGGCAAACCCTTGTTTCCTTGTTACGTGGCCGTACCATTGTAATTTGCGTTTTTTTCACAGTCACCAGTAGGTCATCGTACTCCCCAATTGCCTGACGAACCCTTTCTTTCACTGTATCATTGGAGATATGGTCCTTATAGCAGATGCCAAAAATGCTTCTGAAGCATCTCATCTCCATCGCCTTTATTTTCCTTTCAAGATCGGCTGTTAATGTCCAGGATTCACATGCATACAGGAAAATGGAGAGGACTAATGAGCGCATCAGTCTGATTTTGGTGCTGGAGGCTATATTTTTGTCATTCCATATTTTCGTGAGCTTTTTTAGTGCTGTTGTAGTCAGCGCAATCCTGGACATCAGTTCGGGCTTGGAGCCTTCTTATGAGACTATTGCTCCTAGGTATTTGAAGCGGCCTACTGTCTCTAATCTTTCCTCCCCGACCTTGATTTCAGTGGTGATGCCTGCGGTATTATTTGTCATCAGTTTTGTCTTTTCGGCACTGATTAGCATGCCGTAGGACGACGAGGTCTTATCGAGACGCTTTACCAGGCCGGCTAGCTCTTCTTCGTTCCCAGCCAGCACGTCTATGTCGTCCGCAAAGCGTAGGCTGGTGATTGTTCTGCCACCAATGCTGACTGTCCATTCATGCGCTCCCAGAGCATCTGACATAATTCTCTCTAGGAAGATGTTGAACAGGATGAGGGAGAGCAGGCAGCCTTTTCGTACTCCAACCATGGTCTTGAACCATTCTCTGATGTTGTTGTTGAGGAAGACTGCACTGGTGGCCTTATCATAGAGGTTGCATATCATGCTGGTTAGGTTTGTGTTGATTTTGTAGTACCTCATGGTAGCCCATAAAGCAACATGCCAAACCCTGTCAAATTCTTTCATCTCCGTGACTTGATCGTTTCAAATGATGAGAATTTAGAGAGGCTAGCCTTATATAGTGAAGTGATAAGAAATAAGTGATAAGAAATAAACACAGGGTAGAGGAAAACCTGAAAAGGAATATAAAAAAAAAATAATGTGGTCGTTTCATTCAGCTAAGAAATTATGAAACAGCGTGGTCATGCATGGTCATGCGAACTGATGCATTGTGACGCAGGGTGATGCATTGTGACGCAGCGGGGAGCAGCGTGGTGCATTGTGATGCAGGGTGATGCAGGCAGTGTAATGCAGTGTGAATGTCTTGTTGCCTGTTGGTTTTTCGAATAGATACTTAACTGCCCCCCTCCCATTCAAAATAACCACATGCCAACATTGCTGGTGAGCCCTGGGGAGCACCATAAGAACGATATACAGCCTGGCACTAGTGGTGCTGCAGTAGTCGTCGAATTTTGATCTAACAATACTATGCCCCCCACCCCCACTGCGCTTTTCCGTCTCCGTATTAACTTCCTTTGATTGAAAGGTTTGCTATCAGAGTCCCCATTGTATTATCCTATCTTTGTGTTTGTTGGGGGCTTGAAATTCCAGCCCACGGGCATGTGTGCCCTTTCCTGGTGTCGACACACTTGTTTGCGAAGATTAACTATCAATATAACCGTCCCGAATAAGATTAGACTTCCTGGCAAACTGGAATTTTTGTTTTGATCATTTTTTATTTCTAGGGTACAAGTCTGAACTGGCGGATTCAACAGAATTTGGCGGAGTGGTACCATCCGTGACAGGGGACAGAAGTTCAAAAATAACAATAAGATGGAGATGTGGGTGTATTTAAAAAATATATATATACAGTCATGCGTGTTTCTATACTAATGGAGCAGCGGTTCTCAACTTGTGGGTCGGGATCCCTTTGGGGGGGGGGGTGTCGAATGACCCTTACACAGGGGGTCGCCTAAGACCATCGGAAAACACATGTTTATGAAGTGTAGAAACGAAAATATTTTTTTTATGATTGAGTGGTCACCACAACATGAGGAACTGTATTAAAGGGTCGCGGCATTAGGAAGCCTGAGAACCACTGCTAAAAGAGTATTAGGGCGACATTATCTTTGACAGCAACCAGATCCATAGCATCTCTGATAGGTTACACTTTATATAACGAACGGCTGAGGGCGTTAGACGCCTAACGTACAGAGTCCTCGAGATTGTTCAAATCCTATGTTGGCTCTCTTTGAGGATTGATTGTGAGTTGCGGTATCTGTATTTAAACATTGTAATAGTGTTGAGGAGCATGGGAAATAATTTGGATGGATGTGTTTTGGTTTGTGATCAATGCACTAAAGTAGTTTTACAATGACTAAGGTGTACGGGCATATCAACGGTATTGTGTGCACGGGTGGGTGAATTAGAGGCGATTCTTTGAGGGTGGGTGCATTCATAGGAAGTAGGTTTATGGTGAGTGCACTCATAGGAAGTAGGTTTATGGTGAGTGCACTCATAGGAAGTAGGTTTAGGGTGGGCGTAGGAAGAGATGGGTGCACTCATAGGAAGTAGGTTTAGGGTGGGCGTAGGAAGAGATGGGTGCACTCATAGGAAGTAGGTTTAGGGTGGGCGTAGGAAGAGATGGGTGCACTCATAGGAAGTAGGTTTAGGGTGGGCGTAGGAAGAGATGGGTGCACTCATAGGAAGTAGGTTTAGGGTGGGCGTAATTAGGGTGGGCGTAGGAAGAGATGGGTGCACTCATAGGAAGTAGGTTTAGGGTGGGCGTAGGAAGAGATGGGTGCACTCATAGGATATAGGTTTAGGGTGGGCGTAGGAAGAGATGGGTGCACTCATAGGAAGTAGGTTTAGGGTGGGCGTAGGAAGAGATGGGTGCACTCATAGGATATAGGTTTAGGGTGGGCGTAGGAAGAGATGGGTGCACTCATCTTATGTTTCAGGCCGCTTGGCAGCACAATTTGATTTTTTTTTAAAAATCAACTTATGTTGAGCTCTAAAACTCAATATGTCAACATTGGTCCAAATCAAATTTTCCTTTGACCATCGGAGCGACTTACGGGGCCTATCCATTTACCACGTGTTATGGTCGCACATTTTGAGAGTCACTGTGTCTCTGGCGGCCACAAAATGTTACAGTGAATGGTGACGATTGTGACATTTAACTTCCCCTTTTTTTAAAGTTATCGTAAACCGTTTTGTGTTGATAAAAGGTCTTTGCTTTTTGCAAATGTTTGCATTAGCAATCTGATTACCTCTCCACCCGGAAGTACAATGGGGCAGATATATAGTCAGATGGAAAGAGAGATCAGCTTCCTGAATCTAGTTTTCCCCAGAGCAGATCTAACGTTTTAATTCGGACATTACGGTAATTGTGGATATTTTACAGCATGACTTTTACCAGGCCTAAAAAGATTTTTTTTTTAATTTTATTTATTGAATTGTCTCCAGATTTTTTTTTTTTTTTTTTTGCAGTGGTGGCATTCAAATAAAAAAAATTTTAAGTGCTAACGTTTATGTTAAAATTAACAAAATAATTTTTTTTTTATTTTTTTTATTTAATTTTCACAAAATTTTTTTTTTTTTTTTTTTTTTTGCAGTGGTGGCATTCAAATAAAAATAATTTTAAGTGCTAACGTTTATGTTAAAATTATCAAAATAGATAATTCTCTTCGTAACAATGTGACTAACGCTACCAGATGGCGCTGATTTCACTAAATAAAATTCCCCATAACTGCGCTAAATGGTAGGCCTATTCCTAAAAATACCGCGAGTGCGTTTGGTACGTAATACTTTCTTTTGTTTTTACCAAAAATAGTATCACATTAATTTATTGTTTTTAATCTTCGGTATAAAAGGGGCTGGCACATTAGAATACCAATATAGTTCAGGGGCTTGGAAAAAAAAAAGTGCGTTTGCGAAACTGGGGGGCAGGGCTGGCGGCACTAATTGGGACTCTTATAAAATGCGTTACATGAGTGTATGTTGTTGTTTTTTGTGTTTTTTTTAAATAGTGGATGGGAAGCTCACGCGATGTGGCCACCATTGTTTTGCGGGTAATCAGAGGCGTAGAGTGGTGGGGGCAGGGGGGACAGATGTCCCCGGGCGCCAGCTAGTTAGGGGCGCCAAAATGTGCTTTGATATTATTTTATTGATGAAAATAATGGGTTTGAGAGTTGAAAAAAAAGAAAAAGGGGCGCTAAAAATGAATCTTGTCCCCGGGCGCGAATCTTGTCCCCGGGCGCCAAACACCCTCGCTACGCCACTGCGGGTAATAGCGAGAGTAAATGCTACATTCTCTTGTGGGGGCCGAGCTTACGCTCTTAAGGCCCTGGCCAGTTTGACAACGTCTTGCCTCATTTGGCGGGCATCGCCGTAAAAAAAATAAAAAATAATAATAATCATTAACACAAGCGTCCGTGCTCAGACCTCAGACCCATCCGTCTCCGTTCTCGGTGCAGCCAAGCAACAGGTGCTCCGCCGTTTCAGTAGCCAGGCCATATGATCGGCAGGATAGGATCCTCTGCGTGAGTTTAGTCGATTGAGCTAACTGCCTGTCGCGCAGTGGTCCGCCCTCGTTTGCGCTACCACTGGGCTCTGTTCACGTCTTTTAGAAAATGTCTATTTCATGATTACGTTAATGCTTATATATCTTATAAATTTTTTTTATAGCAGACACTTCAGCATTATTTACAGGGCAATCGATTACAAGTAGTGTACATGGGAACAAATAGAGCATCTGGCGTACTTACTGAATTATAATAATATACTATGGCATAAGTTAAGTTTTTTTTTTTAAAGCCATAGTTAACGTGCTTATCATATCATCAGTATCACACTCATTTCAGTTACAAGCGTATGTAATTTCTGCTATTCCATTCAAAAGACAGGTTGAAGTGGTTGCACCCAGTTTGGAAAAAGGGGGTGGGGGGAGGGCAGTATCAGTTCTCGAGGCCCTTGCTTCTTGAAGGCCCAGGTCCGGATACTTTTAAAATGTGACCATTTTAATTGACTCTTTCACTCTCATCTTAGCGGGGGCAGCCATTCCCCTCCTCCACCACCCCCGTTTTCAACTTGTTAAATGTTTTCATAATAGGTATTTGGTCCTTGTTGATGCACTCTTTACTTACTTATGCCTTTTACCCCGCCTGTGGTCACGAAGACGTCCGCAAGAGCACTGCATTCATCTCGGTGCTGTGCTTTCTTCCAGTTGCATCCCAAACTTTTTGCGTGTCTGCCTCTTGCTAGCTTCTTCGTGTAAACACTATACTTCGTATGTCTGCCTCTATAGCTAGCGTCCTCGTGTAAATACATACTTTGTATGTCTGCCTCTCGCTAACGTCTTCGTGTATTCTTTGGCCTTCTCCATTTCCCCCCCCCCTTTGTGGTTTAATGCTATTAATAGGAGATTGGTGGGTTTTTTCTGTGGGGTTTACGCAGTGTGTGCCTTGTCCAGCTCCGTTATTTCATTGTGATGCCTTTAGCAATAGACTGTAGGTATATCCAGTGGCGTAGCTAGGGATTGGGGGGGGGATTTGGAGGCCCGGGGGGCTTGGCCTCTTTAGGGGCCCCTGCATTTTGACATTCGACATTAATTAATGTAAAAAAAAAATTTCGGACACGCCTTTGGGCCCCCCCCCTCAAGTAGGGACATGGGGAGACTTTCGAATTTTGACCCTCCTCCCCCCTCCCCTAGCTACGCCACTGGGTATATCTCTGCAGTAAGTCTTTGCTAGTGATGTATTTGCCCATTTCACATTCACGATCTTTGTAAGGCAAGTGTTTGTGAAGCACTGTCCTTTCTGCTCGATGTTCGCTTTTGCTCTCTCCAAGTTTCGACAATGTTAGAAGTAAAATCGTAGCTATTTCCAGACATTTCAAGCTAATTAAAACAAGTAGCATCACTAGGACGTGTTTTGTATACATTTAAAAGCCGCGCTCGCGGCACATGTAAACTTTTATTTTTAATTAGCCATAAAATATTTCCAAACATATTGACATTGACTTTGGTTAAAAAAAAAAAGAAAAGAGATATTTTTTAGTGCATGTCAATTATTTATGTGTGCGTGTGTGTGTGTGGGTAGTCTTTTCTATATTCATGGAAAGAGACCACGTTGCCAGTTGAATCGCTGGTGTTGGAAGGAATGGTCGAGGCGGAAGAGGTGGTCCACCCAGGGCGGAACTTTTTTCTTTTTACTGAGGGGCAGAAATTTCCTGCGGCTTCAAATATCTTAATTTCCATGATGGAAAAAAAAAGTGTGGCCGGTGGGGGGGGGGTAAAAACAAAAAAAAAAAAAAAAAAAAAAAAAAATCCTAGCTCAAGCTCCATTTCCAGCTCCGCCAACGATTTGTTTATAGGTAGCATATCATTTAAAGTTGTAAAATGTAACTTCATGTAACAATATTGTAATGCCATTTAATAAAGAAGATATATATTTATTATAAAACTTTAAACATTCGAAAATTGATACCCGAGATGTTTTAGGAAATTGCTCATTGTGAAGGGTATGGGCAATTTGCATTAATTCATGTATTTATAAGCCGAATATGAATAAGAAATACACTCTGGGTCATGTGACTAATAAAAATGTTATTTTTAGCGTCCAGTAAGAAAGTGTTTTGAAATCATGTGTTCTTTTTTCGCATGTTCAAGATGGTGGATATGTGATCCAAAATATATAATTTAAAATTGTTTGAATGTCTTTGACAAGGTTAGGGAATGTTAAAAACATCTAAACCCATCGCTTAAAATGGAGAAAAATCGGCCAGGAATTAATTTAGGATATTAATTTATTAATTATTTAAATTATTACGTAAAATGTGGCATATATTTAAAATTCGCACGTCCATATTTGCGTCATTAAATTCAAATTATTATCTTTTCTAAATTTTTACTTTGACCACAAAGTCACAATTACAATCAAATGCATAATTTATTCCTGCCAAAGAGTCAATTTAAAAAAATCAAAATATTTAAGAACTAATTGCAATTTAATTATTCTTTTTGGCCTTAAACTTAAAGTAAGCAAAAGCATTTTAAAGAGTTATCATAAATAACTGATAATGATAAAGAGATTATTATTGTAAATTGTTGTGTAAATTGTGTAAATACTAAATATACATGTATATTAGTCTTAGGAGTCTAAGTAGTGTAGCCGTAGCACAAACACTTAGAATCTACTCTACAGTTCAGTGAATGACAGTTTTACATATTTATTTTTTATAAACTCAAGAAATTCAGGTCCTGATACTGATAACTCTAACCTGAACCTTTTATTTGTTCTTAACGTGTTGTATAAAAAGAAGTGGTACAGGAAAAATTGTAAGAAAAAGGATCCAGAGAAAAACTGCAAAGAAAAATGATACGGAGAAAAAGGATTTTAAGAAAAATCCAAATAAAAAAGGACAATATAAAGTGTCTGAATAGTTCCAATCAAACGTGGCACAATTACAAATATGATTCAAACTTTAAATGCAAAACCCATTTGCTTGATCCTGAGCAATAGAGTCGCTCAAACACATGAATAAGCAACTACATCAGGTCACACCCGGACCAAGCCTATCTAGAAACTGACTTTCGGTAGAGTCACTCACTTGCGGGAAGTTGGCAATCCTTGTAGACTCAAACTTGATTAAAAGTCAAAATCGGAGACCAAAACCCTGAAGACCATATGCTTATACCACATTCACATATGCTTATAATAAATAAAGTACTTAAGATGTATTAGGCAAACTATGTATCAAGTCTAGATCTTAAGTCCTGCTTTTTAGAAATAGTTCTTGATTGTTAGACAAATTTTTGTTTAAATCTATGACCATGGTAGGCCAATTTCCTATTCACATTATTCCATTCTTTTGAAAATTGAAATAATAATGAAAATAAAAAACATTTTTATGTAGCCATTTATGAAATGTAAAAACATTTAAATTTCATATAATTGTAGAATTTTAGAAAAAATAATATAATCTTAAAACTAAACTTATTTCTTGAACTTTTCTTCCCCAGAAATAATAAGAGTGACCATAACATCCATAATGTCTGCTGCCTACTCAGCTCTTCTCCTGTTTGCATTGAGTGGTATTGTAACAGATGGATATAAACATGTTATTTTTATGCATGGCATTTTGGCTGGCCCATCAGAATTTGATTATTTTAACCAACTTGTGCAGCAAGTAACTATGCTCTTAGCTTAGGAATTTTTTTATATGAGGAAACCATTTTAAACCGTATTTCTTAAAATGTTTGAACCTCATTGTAGTGGTATTTTTAACAAATTATTATTTTAAGAACCATATATTAGCAAGATAGCATTTAACAAGTTAAACTTATAATTATTTAATATTTTATGTTTTGAAAGCAAAGTATGTTTTTTGATTAAATTTTAATAATAAACTTACTCAAACTTAAATTTCAGGACAAATAAAATATTTTTAAAAACATAATATAGTACAAGGATTAATTAGCATTGATGTTAAAAAATCTTTGGAAATATCCTTAAAACACAAATATCAGGGGTATTTTTTATAATAACTAAAAAAAACTTAATTAGGCCTACTTATAAATACATTTAGAAATAGCAAAATTAAGTTCAACTATGTGTATTCCTTTTCAGTATCGCCCTGGCACACCCACCACTCAAGTCAACTTGTACAACAAACTAGACAGTTTGGTTAACATGTGGACCCAAGTTGAAAAAATCAATGGGACAATTCATTCTATTTTAACAAACACATCATCTGAAGGGACTGTTTTAGTCTGTTTTTCTCAAGGTTTGAATTTCATTCATATTTTCTTTATTAGTTCTGTCATATAACTTTCTAATTATTATTGGTTATCTATTCGATTTTAAAAATAAAACAAAATGTTTATTTTGCATCTTTATCTTACTTTACTTAGCCATACATGTTCAATGAACAGGTTTTTAAATTTAAGAAAAAAAAATGGTTTATTTGGAGAATAACAATGAGAATAAAGACTATTTTTTATATAAATTTACACAAAAAGAGTTGTCATTATTTTTTATTAACAACTAAGAGGTTATTATGGCTCTACTCCATTGCTCACACTAAGTTTATCCATGCATGATTCCCAAACTGTAGCAACCACTAGTTGTCTGTGGTGATGAACCACAGCCCACTTCATATTTTTAGACCATGAATTAATCTTGTAACACTCCTGCACTCTTGTTACCAAAGGTCACTTTGAACAGATTTTAACATTCATTTTGAACAACACTGAACTGCTAGTAAGATGTAAAAACAAAACTTCAAATTACTGATGCTATATTGAACATGTGTTGTTTTCAATAAACATTCAAATGGGACAAATAACTAACAAAATGGAATAACTATGTAAAAAGTACAGAAAAATTATATAATTTGTTATACATGCTTAATTTAACCCTGATATTTATTACTTATATTAATTTCTTTCATTGAACAGGTGGTCTTATATGTCGAGCTCTGTTAGCAACTGTTCAGCACAATGTCCAGACATTTGTAAGCCTTAGTGCACCGTTAGCTGGTCAGTTTGGAGGTTTGTTGAACGTACCTTAACGTTAAATATCTTCTTTTTGTAAATGTGTGAAAAATTTAAAAAATTAAGCAGCATGAAAATATGCAAGGACATCCAGAGAATGGTAACTTTAGGAATCGTGAGTCATTCTCCTTCTCAATCTGTGATATTATGTTATTTCCCTATAATGATATATAAACTAAATATGATAAAATCATTTTTAGTAAAGAAGTTAACTTTTAATGATTTGTTAAAAAAAAGCATTAAAAAAATTCAAAGTAAGTGATCACTTAGCATTTATTAAAATACAATTTTGATACAACATTGCATGTAGGCCTATTTTTTTTCTTCCTTAAATTTCTTTCATGCTTTCCTCTCATCAACAGATTCAATTTATCTAAGGCTCCTGTTTCCAAATTATCTTAAAGACAATATCTACAAGTAAGATTGGCATGCAGTTCATTGCATGAAGATACATTTCTTTGATGGGATGATACAGTAGATCATAGGCTGTAATTGCTTAGACACATTTAAACAATTCTATTTTCAACAAAGGAAACTCATAATTACCGGTACCTTAATTTAAGAGAGAGACCAATTCTTTTTGTGCCATTTTAAAATATTTTGTTAAATTGTCTGACTAACATTCCATCACTGCCCATCTTTGGGTTGGATAGTCAATAAAAATCTGTGGTCTAGATCGGGTCTTCTAGATCTTTGCTTCAACTCGTTCACTGACCCTCACTTTCCTGTCTATCTCTCTGAACTGTTGCTTCCTTACATCCCCACAAGACAACTACGTTCTTCCATTGACAGTAGAACCCTCTCAATCCCAAGAACTAAAACTAAGACCATCGGTGAACGCTCCTTCTGCTTCCATGGGCCCACGTTCTGGAACCAGCTCCCCTTCCATATAAGTCATAGTGAAACCTCGTCCATTTTCAAAAAGTCCCTTAAAACTCATCTGTTTAGGTCCGCCTATGACCTGTGATGCACCCTCCTTGCCCTACCTAATTTTCTGTTTCGGTTTAATCCTGAAGTGTCAATTCTATAGAATAGTAGTTACTATCCTAGTGTCTCATTTGTATTTACTTAGTTTACATGTTTTAATAATTGTAAAGCGCTTAGAGCTTTATGATAAGCGCTATATAAAAATGCCTAAATAAATAAATAAATAAATATGTGGTTTAGTTCAGTCTGTAAACCCTAATGTTTACTGAGACTATTTTCTAGTTTGCTAAAAAAAAATTATTAAATTTTTATATCCTACCATAGATTTTAATATAACGCTAGATACTAACATATTGAACATTTTAATACAATAAAAAGTTATCGTGTTTCATACTGGTACATAGACTTCAAAAGTTGGTTATATTTTTTTATATGTGGTATAAAAATAAGGAGTAATTTCATTCAAACAGTTTTATAACTGGACTTATTCAAAACAACTGCTACTTCCAGGTTGTTTTACACAAATTCTGGCCAGGATATCTCCATAGGAAATTACTGGAATGGTGAGTGTTGAAGGTTTGGGAGCAGTATTTTGCTTATTAGCAGGAAAGGTATTTCTAGACGACAAGACATAAATATGTTGCAAGTTAAAGAGAGATTACTTTGTTAGCTGTAGGCCTAGTAGCAGTTTAAAAACAACATATTCTCTAACATGAAACAAGAAACCAATATGATGTGTATTCATTCAGTTGATCCCAGTGCAATGAAATATTGTAGATAATTGTAATTTTACTGAATTATATTGGTGCACCTAAACATATGTTTAAAAAAAAAAAAGAACTGTGCAAGTACTTTCTTGTGTATTGTTCCTGAAACAATCATAAATAGCTGGCATTATTTTTAAAAAAAACAACATATTTGTGATTTTAAAAAACAACAAATGTTCACCTTTCAGACCCAAAGCAAGGGGAGCTGTTCAAAAATTTCTCCACTTTTCTTGCTGTACTGAACAACCAGTCCAGTGTTGTTAATCCAAAAAGTCATGGTTGTAACTTATTAATTTAATTTTCTTTACAATTCAAAGTATTTAACAAGCAAGATTTATGATTACATTCCATTTGACTTTAAAGGGGGACCGGTAGTCAACTTTACATAAAAATCATGTTTTTTTTTTTTTGTTTTTTTTTTTTTCATTTTTCCAAAAAGTGTATTTTTGGTTACAATAACCTCTTATAAACACAATCTTAAACACTTTTTTGAACTGGAAACTATTTCTAAAAAAACATTTCTGTACAAAAAAAAAAAAAAAAAAAAAAAAAAAAAGTTTTAATCCCACTCCTATTACTTCAAAAATTTGTTATAAAATTGACAAGTTTAGCTAAGATGAAACATTTATGTTAGTTGATATATTATTTTATTATCTTTCTTTACTTTTTTAAAGAAACTCTAAAATAATTGTTTCCTGTATTTTAGAATTTAGAGACAACTTTCTGCGGCTAAAAAATTTAGTTTTAGCAGGTGGGCCTGATGATGGAGTTATCACCCCTTGGCAAGCCAGGTACATTGTGTGCAATTTTTCTAAGATTTAGCTAAACAGATCAAGTAATAAATTATTTGAATACAAAAATATTGTTTTGGAAAAAAATGTAGGTTATTTTCCTTTTAAAAAAAATATTGAATAAATTATATAACCAAAAAATTCTGAATGTGAAATTTTAATATAATAGATATATTCAATTGCAAATGTATAACCTACTTGTTCAGATTTCAGTATATTGCTACCGACAAGTCTTGTCATCTTAATCACTTAACACAGAATTAATACTTAGATTTTGGGTTGTTACATAAGAACTTAGATATGGGGTTACATAATATGGATTTTCTTCTCACTTGTCTATTTTACATTTTCAGTATTTTCACTATAAATTCATGTTTATAACATTTAAACTGTTTTTTTTTTACTTTGTTTCAGCCATTTTGGGATGTACAATGCTTCTGAGGTTGTCCTACCTATGGAACAACAAGAGGTATGTTCTATCTCTAAGTAGACTGAGCAAGTAAAAATAATCAAAATATGTACCAGTAACAATATGTTGCAATCTCAGAATTTAAAATTTGGTCAACCAAAAAGTTCACCAACTAATATCAGAATAATTTGTTACTTTTATCATATCTAATTTGGTATTCCAATACATTTTTAATATTAACAGTGGTACTTGAACGATGCCTTTGGCCTTAAGACCTTGAACTTCCAGGGAGGTATCCACACCTACACGTTTCCTGGAATTCAACACAGACACTGGCACGCTGAGCAGAAAGTGTTTGAGACTTGCATCAAACCATGGCTGTGAAGCTTATTCAAGATGATGCTATTTATGCATTAGTCAACAGTGGTTTTGGGAAAGCTCCAAATAATCATTGAGTAACATTAATGTACCGTAATTAAAATATTGGGCATAAATTATTATTAAAAATTGCAGTTAAATTTTGTATTTATGACTCTTCAAATTGGGTGTTTGTAGTTCAAGTAGGCAGTACTGTCCAGACATGTTTCCTTTATGACATAAAATTGCTTATCAGAAATATTTTATCATTTCCATCCCAGCTAATGAGGAAAGTGCCACTACTCTAATGTACTTACGAATTCTCAGTGTTCAGAACTTTGTCTTCAGCACATTTTAACATATGATCAGGCCACAAGTGCAATGTGCAACATAAGTTTTAAATAAGAAGTATAATTAATAATTATAATTTTAAAGGCACGTTTCCTTGATGGCAACATATATCTACAGATTACATTCCAGTATCACGGCACAATCAATGATATCTTTATCATCCACAGTTTTTACACTAAATTTTATTGTATGTTTGTAAAGCTGTTTCTTTACCCAAACAGTAAAATCAGTACACTCAGTTCTTTCCTGATTTACCAGATTTGCAGAACCAGCGCTTAGCTTTAGTTTAAACATTTTATTTTCATACAATCTGGCAATCATGTTTATTGTATTGTAATTGCATTTTTTTTTTAAATTTATTAAGCCTTGAATGGCCTCCCTTTACAGGCCAAGAAACATTGTTCCTTCAAACACGTTTCTGAGATGTCTTTCAATCATTATATAGAACAGAATGAAATGTTGTGTCTTTATTAGCTTTTTATTAATCACTTTCATAACAGATTTTGTCTGCAATATATATACATAGCATCATAACACACTAATTAATTTACAACAATGCTGTGGAGAAAAATGATTTTGTTAATGTAGAGGGAAGGGGGGTGGGTTAAAATGCACACATAATAAATGGTGTCTTCTTTGTTTTTCTGAAAATGTTGTGTTTCAGTTATAACTTGCATACCCATTTTTTTTTCCTATTGATATGCTAATGCTTTTTTAGGGTCATGTAAATGTGATAAATAAAACTATCTGGTAATTCAGTTTGTATTATTTAAAAAAAAGGGAAAAATTAAGAAATTTGATTTTTGTTTATAATGAATAAAATATGTAAATAGACTAACATGGTAAAATTCTCATAATTACAATTGAAACGTTATTATCAATTACTTAAGGTTTATTTTTAAAAATGACTTTAAAACATAAAATGTATGATATTATATATTTTTTTTATCAAATGGTTGTCTTATTAAGAAATTATCATTAACTAAAAATATAGAATAAAAATTATGACATTTTTGCTACCTCTGGCTTGCTTTTTTAAGATCACTTTTATGATCAAATCTTCAATTTATGTCATTGGCATTAATGTGTATGTTTTAAAAAGTAAATTTTATTAATGTAATTTGCTTTTTATTGATTTATTATCGATAACTTAGTTTTTACGCTTTTACTTTTATCCATTTTTGCTCAATATTAATATGGACAGCAGTTTAATTTTTGAAAGTATATTTCCTTTTCTGTATCTTTTATAATATGCAGATAAATAAGTTTCATTTTCATTGTTTAGATTGATACAATTATTTGTAGACCCAGGTCTGCTCATCAATCTAAACAATGAAAATCAAATTTACTTATCTTCATATTATAAAAGATAGAGGCCCCCCCCCCTCACCCAAACTAAAACCACGCAACTGGGAAATGTTCCCATATAATTTATATTTTTTTATTTATTTTGAAGGGGTGGGGACCTTTTTCTTTTCCCCATGCCACCTACCTAAAAATGTTTCACATACAACCAAGGTGTTGAATATACACCAACCTGGAGTAAAACAATAATTTTAATTTAATGAAGATCATGCAGAATCTTAAGACATTCTCTTGTATGATTATTGATGACCGGTTGTGTCATGTTTTATATTATGAAAACCACGATCAGGGCTCATATCTAAGAGTTTATTATTCTGGGTCAGATCATATAACAAAAAAGTACAGCACACCAGTAGTTACACATTGTAAACATATCTGATGTAATGTCTGGCAAAGCTGGGTTTTTTTCAAAATTCATCAGCTGTTATTATTGCTATTAAATTTAAAAGGCATTATAATGTGTTCGATAGTGATCTCGTGGAAATCAACAATGGAACTTACTTGAACACATATGTGTAGGCTACTTTGTGCAAAAATGCTATTGTTATCTGTCTGATTTATTATTTTTTTTTTACAAATTGCAATAATCAGAATTTACTGCACAGTTGTTATTTTTTTATATGCCTATACAATATTGTTTTACTATGGAGAAATTTATTTCATGAATGTTAAAAAAAAAGTAATTAAAAGTAATAAAAGCTTGCTACTTTTCGTGACCTGAAACTGAATATGTTGTCAATGTATTGTAATTTGGATTAAAATTGTCTCCTAACTTCACTATGTCATCTAATTTACAAATCAATGTCATTTTTAACCCCCCAAAAATGTGATTGCAGGCTAATTTTCTATAGAGCTTGTATTTAAATTCATGTATGAATAAAAAGCTATCTATCTAATATACATTGACTTTCTTAAAATGTATATGTTTTGAAATGCGTATTTGCTGTCACTGTACGAACTTCAATCCTGTGAAAACTACCGTGGAATATGTTTGCTCTCCATTGCAGGCAAGATACTCGCTAGAATCCTACTAAACCGTCTCAGTTGGCATCTTGAGTAGTGTCTACTGCCAGAAAGTCAATGCGGTTTCTGCAAAGAGAGGGGAACTACCGATATGATGTTCGCGGCCAGACATCTGCAGGGAAAAGTGTCAGGAAAGAAATGTTGACCTCTTGTCCACCTATGAAGACCCAACCAAGGCTTTCGACACTGTCAGCAGAGAAGATCTCTGGAACATCATGGGCAAATAGGGATGACCCCCAAAAAAGTTAATTTCATTTGTGCAGCAATTCCACAATAGTATGCCGTCTCAACCATTCCCTGTGTCTATTAGCGTCAAGCAACTTTGTGTCCTGGCACTAATACTTTTCAGCAGGATGTCAGATGCTTCCAGAGAAGGAGACACTGGAATCAGCATCAGATATTGAACTGATGGGTAAGTATTTAAACCTCAGGAGTCTACATGCCAAATCCAAGGTCCGGACTGACATCATCAGAGACTTTCTGTATGACGATGGTTGTGTCCTTAACGCTGAATCAGAGGCTGATGCATGGCAGTGTGGAAAACTTCTCGGATGCCCGCACAAACTTTGGTCTTACTATTAACACTAAGATGACAGGTCCTGTACCAACCAGCTCCACGAAAACCTTTCATCGAGCCCAAGATCCAGGTCAACGGTGAATGGCTTAAAGTTGTAAACATATTCTCTTACCTCGGCAGCACACACCCCAAAGCATAACAATACCATTGATGATGAGGGAATACTGTGCAACATTTGGGAAAATGACTAAGAATGTATGGACATGGAGAGGCGTCAGCACCCAAAACAAAACAAAAAAGGTTTACAAGGCAGTTGTGACCTAACTCTTACTATATGCATGTGAAACATGGACAGTCTGTCAACGCCATGCTAGGAAACTAAGCCAGTTCCACAAAAGGAGCCTCCGAAAAATCATCAACATCAAATGGCAGGACAAGATCCCAGACACTTAAGTTCTCGCACAAGCAGGTCTGGCAGGACAAGATCCCAGACACTGAGGTTCTCGCACAAGCAGGTCTGGCAGGACAAGATCCCTGACACTGAGGTTCTCGCACAAACTAGTCTGGCTGGACAAGCTCCCATACACTTAAGTTCTCGCACAAGCAGGTCTGGCAGGACAAGATCCCAGACACTAACGTTCTCGCACAAGCAGGTCTGGCAGGACAAGATCCCTGACACTGAGGTTCTCGCACAAACTAGTCTGGCTGGACAAGCTCCCATACACTTAAGTTCTCGCACAAGCAGGTCTGGCAGGACAAGATCCCAGACACTAAGGTTCTCGCACAAGCAGGTCTGGCAGGACAAGATCCCTGACACTGAGGTTCTCGCACAAACTAGTCTGGCTGGACAAGCTCCCATACACTTAAGTTCTCGCACAAGCAGGTCTGGCAGGACAAGATCCCAGACACTAAGGTTCTCGCACAAGCAGGTCTGGCAGGACAAGATCCCTGACACTGAGGTTCTCGCACAAACTAGTCTGGCTGGACAAGCTCCCATACACTTAAGTTCTCGCACAAGCAGGTCTGGCAGGACAAGATCCCAGACACTAAGGTTCTCGCACAAGCAGGTCTGGCAGGACAAGATCCCAGACACTAAGGTTCTCGCACAAGCAGATTTCCCCAGCGCACACACTGTTACGTACCTTTACGATTTTGAACATGTAATTATGTAATGTAATCTATTGTAGCATTTGGTTCGTAGAATAAACAATACGTTACAAAGGACTGAGAAAACCTGTGTGCAAAGAAAAATGATTTCAAAGATTGTGATACTAATAATATTCACTCTAACAAACTAAAAATTTCTTTAAAAAAAAATACAAGTTCAAATACGAAAACAAAAAAGGTATATCAACTTAAAGAACAGAAGAGGAAAAGCTACACTCCTGTAACAATACAAATATTAATTTGCACACATAAATAAAGAGTACAAAATTGCAATTATTTAACGTCTCGTATAAATGTTAGGATTTTTTTTTGAAAATCTCTCTTGCTCTCTGTCGGCTAGGAAAGCTACCGCCCCATATAGAGAAACTTAATCAGAACGATCTAGTAAAGAAATTCTAGAAATTTCGTCACCGGATGGTATTCTCAAGAACGAAGAGAACGTATTCGAAGGTAAACAACTTTTTCCCAATCAAAGAAAGGGCGGGGGGGGGGAAGGAATGACACAGCACATTTATTTGGCGAAGTCAATATCATAGCAAAATTTCAGGGGGGGGGGTGTCGTTAAAATAAGCCCTACACATATGACATAGCACACCCTATTAACGCTGTCACCACCTCCCAAGCCCCTAAAAATCAGTTGTTTTTTTTCCCTGGAGGTGATAATTGAAATATGATGACGCTGGCTTCACGAAATAAAATTCCCGATAACTGCGCTAAATGATAACTGCGCTAAAAAATATCTTAATTGCGTTTGGTGCATAATATTTTCTTTTTTTTTTTATGAAATGGTTTGGAAAATAAATCTGCGGTGTAAAAGCGAGTGGCTCCTTATAACATTGATATAGTTCAGGGGTGTGAAAAAATGTGTGGTTGGGATCGTTGGGGTTGGGGGGGGGGGGCTATTTTGGATTCTTATAATAAAGTGCGTTACTGGTATGCATGTTTCATCACATTTTAAGCCCCACCCCCATAGCTCGATGTCAACATTTTATAAAGGATTTACACGAAAAAACTTTGTTTTTAGGGGTAGTTTGATCTACTTTGAATTCAGATTTGAAAAATTCTCTGAAAATTTTCTGTCAAAGACTATGGGCCATAGTATCTGAAAATGGGTTTGGGTAATTGTGGGTTGTACTGACCAATGGAATGCAAAAACATTTTTCTAAACAAAGGAAATAGCTCAACTAAAATTACAAATCTTTTGATCAGATGAGTTTTCTTTCCTGGATCGTTGATAGCTCTTTTAAGAAAAAAGATGAGAAAAAGGAAGGGCTATAAATAACTAACCAATAACATAATTTAAACTGATTATTGATTAAGTTGATAAACCTACACGGCTCTATGACGTCCACATCAAAGCTTAGATTGTATTGGATTTTATTTTAATGTTTAGTTGTTTTTGTTTTTTTTAAACATATTTTCATTCGTCATTTTTTATATATTTTTATAAAATCTTTATCATTTTTATTTTATTTCATTCTTTATTTCAAACTGACTAACTCTCCAAAGAAACCGATATTTATACCAACCAAAAAGCTCAAATAAAATTACAATTTGTTGAGTTACCATTTAGAGAATGGTAAGAGATGGAGGAAAAAAAATGAGACACGTTTTATTTAATAATTTTTAAATATAGTCTAGTGTATAGTCTATTAAAGTAGGCCTACTATTAAGTCTTGAAGCAGGAAATTATGGTTGATTTACAATGATTTATTCCTTGATGATGGTAGCAGTGTAGCCTAAGTTGGCCAACTTCTATATGCTATTCTGAATTCTATAAGGTTGATGGCTAGTTTTTCAAGCATAAGTTTATAATTACAATCTGAACATTGAATAGAAATTTTTTATAATCCTTTCAAAAGAGAAAGAGTTTATGACATTTTTGGAATTGAATCATTGATCAAATAATAATATCCAATTCCCATCAATTTTTTTTTTTTTTTTTGTAAATCTTGTGATAAATTTAAAGAAAAAATAATATTTGGCCTATATATTTTCATTTTAAATATTTTATTATTTTATAAAAAGCATCAAGTAGTATTTTGGGAAATATAATAATTTAAAAAAATTGTGTTCTTTAAATATTATTAGAGTTTATGACATTTTTGGAATTGAATCATTGATCAAATAATAATATCCAATTCCCATCAATTTTTTTTTTTTTTTTTTGTAAATCTTGTGATAAATTTAAAGAAAAAATAATATTTGGCCTATATATTTTCATTTTAAATATTTTATCATTTTATAAACAGCATCAAGTAGTATTTTGGGAAATATAATAATTTAAAAAAATTGTGTGCTTTAAATATTATTAGAGTTCAAATGATAAATAAAATAATCAGTTTAAATTATGTTATTGGTTAGTTATTTATAGCCCTTCCTTTTGCTCATCTTTTTTCTTAAAAGAGCTACAATTCTTTTGTTTTCTTTTCTTCTGCAAGGGGAAATAACTGCGGATTCTATATTTAAGTTCTGGTTATTTTGTATAAATAACAGAACGTCGATCTGGGAACAAACTATTAATTTTAGATTAGACTTATTCGCTACTGTCATAGTGACCTTGCAATAAATATTTCTCAAGCTAATACTCAGTGATGGAAAAAGAGAAATCTGACTACAGAATATTTGGATCTTATACTAGGTATGCCTGCCTAACTAAATAATTTAAAATCTTATTAAAATTTTGTATTATGTATACATAAGTATAAGATAAGTAAGAGTAAGAGTAGACACTGTAGTCTGTAGTAGACTAAATATTTTATATTTACACTTTCTTTCATTAGATTGCAAAGTCACATATCTCAATTAAATATTTATAATTAATCGATTTACAATAATAAAAGTAAATATTTGATATACTTATACTGCTTTGATTCCTTTGATCCAATTATATTATTATGGTTTAAATTTAAGATTGCAAATTAATAAATCTATAACTAAAAAACGTATACCTATACTATAAACTATAACTATAATTTACTTACTATATTAACTATAAAAATGTTAATATTAAAAAATTCATTATAATAATGCTATCAGCTATTGATATCTGCTCCGTCATCCCTGACTGAATGAAAAAAGTCCTAAGGCAAAATATGATTTTCGGAGGTGGTTCACCCTTTTAGAGGTTGCAATTTGATTTCTTCAGCGCAGCCTCATTTATTTTTAAATTTAATTATAAGTT